GAGATCCCAGTAAACAAACCACAGAAAAATATATTCCTCAAAGATGAAAATGTCCAGCGGATGAAAGTACCCGGCCCTACTGCTCATCAACGGCCTTGTATATGTAAATCCTGCCAGTACGTGAGAGATAGACATAATGCTTCACCTGTGAGAGTATACAGGTACGACACAGGTGAGGGGAGTGAGTTTACCTGTAGGTGGGGATGGGGAAGGCCTGGGCACTGCAACAGAGAGAGAAGTTGTCTCCCTGGTGAGTCAACTCTTTAGTGACGGTGTCTCGTGGCGGCAGCTGAGGCGCCGAGCTGCCCACAGAATCTGTCTCCCAATAATTTCACGTTTACTCCCCCTCTCTCTCTCTCTCTCTCTCTCTCTCTCTCTCCATCAGCTTACATACGCGTCGACACTCCCTGCTATATTTCGCTTTCACGTTTAATACAACAGCACATAACGACGGTCATCTAAGGTCCAATACTTCCTGTTAGGGGTTTACCACAGACGTATAGAGGCAACAGACGAGGTAAGTGAGAGAGAATAAAACACCTATCATGTTAAAAATAAACGATTAATATTAACATTTAATAAAAACAACTTTCTCTCTCACAACAGCACGAGTTCTGCCCGCCAGTGTCCCGGGTCCCTCATGTGTTGGTTTGGTTTGATGTTGTGAGCCTTTGGTGCTGGGTGAACCTGGACGTCACAGGGGGTGTGGTGGCCCGTGGGGGTGTGAACTTGGCCGTCACACAGGGGGTATTGGAAAGACTGGCCGTCACACAGAATAAGCAGTGTCCAAGATGCCCTCAGCTCCACAACACCAATAACCACCACATGAGTGTTACCCAGGATAGTAACCCAGCCACACTAACCAACGTACCCAAAATTATATAACCAACCAACCTAAGTACAGTCTCTGGGAGCCCTTAGGGAGATAAACCAAACGCTCTTTACCTGTGAGGAACTGCAGGTTAATTGATTACCAGGTGACAGGTAGGAGGGGGAATGAGTTACCTGTAGGTGGGAGTGGGGAAGGCCTGGGCGCTGCACAGGAGAGTGCAGCTGTCTCCCTGGTGAGTCACCACTTTACTCACGGTGTCTTGAGGCGGAAGCTGTGGCGCCGAGCTACCCACGGAATCTGTCTCACACACACACACATGAGACACGTTGATCCTCTCTCTCTCTCTCTCAGGAGCCTACATGCAGGGCGGTACTCCCTGCTACAAGTGGTTTAATCATAGCCACAATACACCGTGTACCACTCCTCTCTCGGCCGTCAAATGGGAAAAACTCGAGATTCTCACAAATTCCCCCGACGAGTCACGTTAGTCTTGTCATTTTTATTATAACTTTTCATGGTGAAGGAATTTTCAGGTCGAGGAAATACTAACAGCAATCTCTAAGACACGGGGGATAACATTTACGGTGCGAGAAATGACGTCTGATGAGATTTTAAATGGAAACTTTGACGGATAACTGCTAAATATGAAGCGTAGTTTAAGGCGCTACATACATATTATTATTATTATTATTATTATTATTATTATTATTATTATTATTATTACAAAGACAATAAACCCATCGAGAATAATCGAGTAAAAAACATGAAAAGCCATAAAGCATGGATCCGAACACACGACATATGAAGCCATCAACCGTGGATCCGAACACACGACCCATGAAGACATCAGTGTAGATCGAACACACGACATATGAAGCCATCAACCGTGGATCCGAACACATTAACCGAGTCAGTATGTTGTTTTGAAGCCAACGTCAAGAAGTATGTACTGTACGTCATTAACTTCCCTAGAGAATGATGATAGTTATGGTAGTAGGTTAGGTTAGGTTTGGAAAATACCTGTAGGCTGGTGGAGGTGAGGCCTGGGCGTTACACGGTAGAGCGAAGCTGTCTCCTGCTGCTTTGTGTTTGGCGCTGACGGTGTCTTCCGCGGGGAGTGAGGGAGCCGAGCTGCCCATGGCCTCTGATGTATATACACACACACTCGAATTAACTCCCTCACACTCCCTTTGACACACACACACACACACACACACACACACACACACACACCTGTACAATGGCAGGTAATGACTTAAGAACCACTTGAGGGAAACTCTCCACACTGGTGGTCGAGTACCGCACATCAAGTAAACACACCGTCGACCATCACCGAGGCCCACCCCACCCCCTGTATTACCGGGCACCTCACCACGTATATGTATATAATATGTATTTACTATTATGTTTCAAAAACAAATCATACACGTCAATCAAGTTTCCTTAAAATAAAAAGATTTAAATGTCCCCAAATCGTCAACCATATATGATCTTTACTGAACAAGTTCTATCAATATGTTTTGGGTAAATAATGTAGTGGGTGTGGCAGAGAGGTACAACACCCGGCATACTTGCCACGGTACATACATAATGTATAAACCTCATATCAAGGTTTATACTATAGGTAAGTCAACCCTGAAGGCCCTCGCTTGTCCCACTCCCGCCAGGTTTATAAGACGAGGAGCGAGTGTATAAACCACAACCTGTGATAGGTTGTATGAATATTAAACTGGTGGTCTACACGACTAACAGATCGCTCAGGTCTACGTCGTGAGTCGTAATAATGGTCAACCGGCGAGGCTCCTTAATATTAATGGATACTTCTGACGCTACGCCAGAGGGAAGCATCTCGTGAGGACCACTAGGGACTACACCCACAGTCTGGCAGCACCGGGAGCTGGGGCATCAAAACCTAGTGAACACAAGACCTAGTGGACACAGGGACCCGAGGGCATCAATACCTGGTTGACACAAGACCTGGGGGACACAGGGACCCGAGGGCATCAATACCTGGTGGACACAAGACCTGGGGGACACAGGGACCCGAGGGCATCAATACCTGGTGGACACAAGACCTGGGGGACACAGGGACCCGAGGGCATCAATACCTGGTGGACACAAGACCTGGGGGACACAGGGACCCGAGGGCATCAATACCTGGTGGACACAAGACCTAGTGGACACAGGGACCCGAGGGCATCAATACCTGGTGGACACAAGACCTGGGGACACAGTGACCCGAGGGCATCAATACCTGTTGGACACAAGACTAAGTGACCAGTCTGGCAGCAGCAGTAACACCTACCTGAACTGAGGTGTTGGGTGGCCCTGGGCAGGGCAGGCGAGGGAGAAGGTGGTGCCCTCAGGCTTGCTCTCAGAGTGGATCTTGTCGCTGGAGGGCAATTTAGGCCCCGAACTGCCCACCGGCTCTGAGTTACAACACACCTCAAAATCAACATCCCTCCCACATCACATTACTGGAACCTGAACCCTATTGTCATCTGCCAAACTCTTCAACAACAAACAAATAACGTTAAATGTCTTGTATTGCCGCCAACAACCAAATGCTCTGATATACAGTAAACAGGACGACTTAGGTGATACGTTGACCTCTTAATGTAGTCAGTGTTCAGACCAAGACCCTCCCCCTGTTGCTGCACCTGTCACACCCTCCTCCACTCTTACCCTCAATACCTCCATCTACCACGACCTCCTCACCTACCTGTTGATTCCTTCCACTACCTGCTGACTCCCCCTCTCCCTTTCTCCACGTATTAGTTCCTCCCCCAACATCTTCTTTCTTCCTCCTCTATCCTTCCCCCCCTTTACTCCTTTCACTACAGCTCATTGGCTACGCTTCTTCCTCTCTAACTCACCCCTTACCTCCTTCACTCTTTCCCCATTTCCCTCACCCTTCTCCCTATTCTCCGTCATTTTTCCCGTCTTTCCTCACTCTCCCCCTCCCTTCTCCACACCCGCCACAACAAAAACTGAACTCATGGGAATCTACGTAACCATTGACTGCCTGAAGGAAAATGGCGGTGTTGTTATGTTCTGTGACCCTCAAAGTTGCATGTATCATTAAAACAAGTGTAATAACTGCTAAAGAGAACAACTTTTGTATTGAATTTGTGTGGATTCCGTCCCATGTTGGAATTAGGTATCATGACCGTGCTGCTCGACTCGCCAATGAGGCATGTAAGAAAGAAAATGTTGACCGTGACCTTGACCTGTTCAATGCTGTACTTAAAAGCATACAGGTCAAAATCATGAACTCTGACCGAGAGGAACTGAGAAATGGAGGGAGACCTGGTAGTTGTGGCATTAGTAAATATTACAAATTTTGTGACAAGAGGTACCGGTAAGGACAGAACCAGACAATGTGATGTAGTCGTGGGCAGCATTAGGCTAGGATACAGACACATCCGGCAAGTTAGTGACGCTGTACACATACCGGAACACTCAGCATGTAAACTTTGTGATAATATAACACTAATGAACTACTCTATTATCTCCTCTTGTGTATGAACCTCTATCCAGCGTGACGGTGATCGGTGACAGCATCTGACTGATCGCCTCACATTAGGCAAATTGTACCTCAATCTTGCCAATAAATTTAAACTAAAAGCTTCCCCTTCCTCCCCGTCCGCCTTCACTCCCCTCTCCCCTCACTCCCACCCCTTCCTTGCCCACCTCTCACCATCCTCCCTCACTCCCACCTCTTCCCTGCCCCCTCTCACAATCCTGCATAACCCCTCCCTCGTCCCCCTGCTTCCCCCAATCCCCTTCATCCCTACCCTCCTTCACCCCCCTCTTCTCTCACCCCCTCACCATCCCCCCTCACTCCCACCTCTTCCCCCCTCCCTCTCACCATCTTCCATTGCCCCCCTTCGTCCCCCAGCAGTCAGCAAGTGGTAGCGTTACCCTGGGGGGGAGGGGGAAGAGTCTTACCGCACAAGAGGGACGGGGAAGCCTTGAGCCTCACAGAAGAGGGAGACGCTGGTGCCTAGGGGCTTCACCACCGTCAGGAGGGTGTTGACACGTTCCTCCCATGTGAACTTGGGCGCCGAGAACCCCACCGGATCTGATGATGACGATGTGGTGGTGGAGGACGAGAGTGGAGGAGAGCGATGACGTGTGTGGACGGTCAAGGAAGACAGACACGAGATGGTAAATGTTGAGACAGATAGACAGAGAAGAGAGAAGGGGAGAAGTAATCTAGGGATAAAACAGACACTGAGAACCTCAGCCCCCCCGGCCGCCATTCACCCCTAGTAGCTCTCACCTCATAAATATAACCCAGATGTGTGTGGATACCCTTCATAAAAACAGTACAGCCACCTCCACACAGTAATGACGGACACACACACACACACACACGTCCCTCTCCTCCCATAACCTGGTTCCTTTACCTCCGCCATAGTTCAGTGTACGACCCATGCAGCTCCCCGGACCAGCAGCTGATCCACCAAGCTGTGACTGTCAGCTGCTCAGACCGTCAACAGGTGTTAACAGGTGACAACAAACAGAGCAATACCTGGTGCGTGGTGCCGGGTGAGCCTGGGCGGAGCACAGGAGGGGGAAGCTGGTGTCCTGTTGCCTGTCGGTGGCCACGCGGTCCCTCGTCGGGAATCTGGGTGCTGACGCCCCTACCGGCTCTGTACACCATCACCACCACCACAACATAAACAAAAATATCTCAACTAAGAGCTCATAACGGGACTCGAACCCAGCATTAAAACACAACCCCTCAGCCATCAGCGTATGAGTAACTAAACATACACCACTATATACACTTACGAGTTATATGTCTGTATGTATGCTAATGACCGGGATCCTTACACAATGTCTCAAGTACCACTCGAGTTTGTGTGTAATACCCGAGGGTCTTTATGGGGGGTAAGATAAGTTGACATCTTACCTTCAGCCAAAGAGATAAAGGTGTTCACGGTTATCTAGTTAGGTGGAGGAGGAGGGTGGTGGAGGTAACACTCAAAGGTGGAGGAGGAGGGTGGTGGAGATAACACTCAAAGGTGGAGGAGGAGGGTGGTGGAGGTAACACTCAAAGGTGGAGGAGGAGGGTGGTGGAGGTAACACTCAAAGGTGGAGGAGGAGGGTGGTGGAGGTAACACTCAAAGGTGGAGGAGGAGGGTGGTGGAGGTAACACTCAAAGGTGGAGGAGGAGGGTGGTGGAGATAACATGTTGGGACGTGTGGTTACCGAGGCTCTAGTGAGTATTGCCGACAACAGGTGGCGCGCGCGTGTGTATGTGTGTGTGTGTGTGTGTGTGTGTGTGTGTGTGTGACCCCAAGTGCTGTACAGTGTTGTCACGTGACCAAACTCGATACTGTCAATCAAACATATGTATACGGTGTTTGGTTGTAGCCCGCCCGATAGATCTAGCTACCGTTCAGAGACAACTTGTGCCCAGACAGATAGAATGACGGACGGACAGAATGACGAACGGACAGAATGACGGTCGGATAGAATGACGGACGGACAGAATGACGGACGCACCAAACCAATATGAACCAACTTTCCTGAACTATTGATCTACAGCCATACAGACAGACGGATACCACCATTACTCTACCCCACAATGACCCACGACCCACACCCCCACGACCCACGAAGACTGACCAACTTACCTGAAGGAGGGAGCGGGGTGTGCCTGAGCCTGACAGTGGAGAGAGAAGCTGGTGCCCGCGTCCTTCACCTTCGACCTGGAGACGTCCTCGCTCGTGAACTTGGGGCCCGACAGACCGACTGGCTCTACATCACCAACCGGACCAAAGTGTCAACAACAGGGACGAGGGGCTACGGTGAAGGCAGACACCGTCAATCAACCAAACCTAACCAAGACCTAACCAAGACCTAACCAAATGCTGTCCTGGGATCGTTACGTGATGTTTGGTTAGGATACTTTTGGTTAGGTTACTTTTGGTTACATAGTATTAGGCTAGATTTGGTTAGATTTGGTTTAAATATGTTGGTTCGTGTCTTCTGCTTTCATTACGTGGTTAAGCGCCGTAAGCTCCGTCATGTTCGTGGAACTTCCCCAACACTCTACATGTTACACGGAGGGAAGCAACAAGGGGCCGTAGTAAAATGTTGTTGATTGCACCACCACCTGTCTACTGTCACCTCGAGCACGACCTATGACCACTATACTGCCATGTCTTCTGTCCACTGAAGGTAAACTTCACCTTACGGGTCTATCACTCATCAAATTTCCTTACTAATAATAATACAAATATATTTGTGTACGTGTGTTAGGGTGCCATGGAGGCGAGCGAGAGTGTGTGTGTGTGTGTGTGTGTGTGTGTGTGTGTGTGTGTGTGTGTGTGTGTGTGTGTAAGGGCGTGAGTTACCTGACGGAGGGTACCGGGAAGCCTTGAGCCTGGCAGAAGAGGGAGAAGCTGGAGCCTTGGGTCTTTAGTTTGCCTCGTGTGAAGTCCTCGCTGGCCAGCCTGGGGGCAGAGTGGCCCACGGGGTCTGGCTCACCCAACACAGGTTAACACTCAGTAATGTACAGTACTCCCACAACTCACCACCAAACTCTACTTTACTTTACAGCCTTAATGAGACTACCACACTACACTACGTAACAACATTCACCAAGAGCCTGAATGTGTGTTTGGTGCAGCATGAGCTATATGTCTACCGTTACCTACACCTGCCTCCCCCTTAACTCTCAACACTGTACCCACGGTGTTATGTAACGAGGAGCGGACACCTTGTTCAGTTCCGGCCAGTCAGCGAGAGACGATTGAACAAGAACTGGGTAGACTCAAAAACAGTCTCAAAATATCTCGTATTAAGCAATTTTTCAGTACAGAGTTAAGTAAGACCTTGACACTGTTACAGACCTCTAACAACACTAACACGTTCATACACTGGCCACACACACCATGAAGCCAGGTAACTAAGGTATAAGAAACTTGTCGCTCTGTCATGACAACATTTACTGATGTTGCTATGATGTTTCTCATATCTACTGGACACAGGCTCTTATAGGTCTGCAGGGTACAGACATAAACAATCTGGTTGATCACGTGTACTTCAAGTAACTCGTCTAGTCTCTCTTGTGTCTCCCCATTTGTTTATTTTTACGAAGACGTTGCCAAAACCTCAGGCCCAGGATGTTGACGTCATCTTCTCTGACTATTAAACACAACCAACTGATCTTTACTAATTTGCACATTCTACAGCGTTTATCTTTCCTGGGATGAATTACTTGGAGTCTGCAGACGATGGATCAAACCTTACACGAGCACAGCAGCAGGAGACCTACCTGAAGTGTGGGGTGGGGTAAGCCTGGGCGGCACAGAACACGGCGAAGCCAGTGCCAGCCTCCACCAGGGTAGTGCGGGACACATCCTTATTCGGCAACTTCGGGGCAGAGTGACCCACGGGAACTGTTGTGAGGCGGAGACCAGGTTTGTTTATATTACCTAATGCTAATGAACAACTCGTGACTAACACCACGAGGAGCTCTGGGTGTACCCTCCCTTAACGCCGAATTACGACAGGACTCAGTAAACAGGAGTGATCTTCGCCTCGGCCACGTGTCTAACTCCCCCACCATCAGTGTCTCAGCTGTTGTGACGTCAGGAGACAATAACAATCAATCTGTCACACTGTTGGGACCACCAAACTGACTTGGTGATCCCCCTGACTCAATGCCTAAACGTGTGACGCTTCAAGACCAAAATCAATACAGAAATTACGTATAAAGAACTAATGTATGATGCTCGGCAGTACTGTGATCAACACCGGTGACTCCAGACGGCCGCACGGAACACACATCACCAAGACGATATCTTTAAGCCTTTTGGGCAGGGAGGACAAAAACACAGGAGCATTTACCTGAAGGAGGGTGTCGGGTGCCCCTGGGCCTGACACAGGAGAGGGAAGTCAGTACCAGCCTGGCGTGCCTGTGTCCGGGACAAGTCTATGTTGGGGAACTTGGGCCCCGACAGTCCCAACGGTTCTGGGGGCCACACAATACTGTTAACTACTGAGGTGAGTCACTACACTACAAGGAGCCCTCTCTAGGCACAGACCGACACACGCCTGTCTCTCAACACCATAGTTCACCTGCCGCGACAATAACTTTGGTTACAAGTTTGTTGTCAGCGTACTGTACTGTCTCCATACTAACGACCGACCTCACGGCCCCGGGTGAATAACTAAGTCAACCAAGAGTCAGCCTACCTCTTATGGCAGGTATATAAAGATGTCCACACCAGCTGCTCCGGGTATCCGTACATAATTTTAATGCATTAATTAAAAGTTAATAATGTTACTATAACTCCTGCTTTAACAACAGTTACACCTGCAGTTCATAATTTACTGTATCTTATAAAAACCAACCGTAGTGTTGAGATACGGGCGTCACCATGGTCTAACTGACCTTGTGATTGGTCTATAACAACCTACTGCAATTGATTTAACTTAATAACAGCATGACTGTTGTTGTAGTGTTCAACTCTGCCTATAGGCGACGCCACCATATACCACGGACACTACAACATGTGTGTATATACTACAGGTCCTCTCACCGCTTCTGGTCAACAGTAGTGTAGCGTCACGCCCCACGACTGAACTAACGTGACAATAACATCATAACTCACATGTGAGGCCAAGAGATGTATTAATTGTTGTTGGTGTTTGCTTTACATAAGAGAGGAATATTATCAACAGTAACAGTGAGTTTTATCATGACCAATAACTCATCTACGTCACTCCTCCATGTGTGTCACCACAACACCTTCCCTGATCACCTGCTGTTTACCTGGACACGATTCCGAGGGCAGCTGCTGCCTCCCACACCTAGTATAAAACCAAACCTCCCTTGGGTGCCACAAGTTGTCTTCAACAGTAAAAAGTGAGTGTTACCTGAAGGCTGGGGCGGGGTGGGCCTGGGCCTGGCACGACAGTGTGAGGGTGGACGCCGCTCGCATGGACTGGCTCCTGGATGTGTCAGCGAAGGGGAATTTGGGCCCCGAAAGTCCCACCGGTTCTGTCAGGTCCAGGTGGAGTTAACACTATATTACTGTATGACCTTCACGACCCACCTGC